GGGGGGGGGGGGGGGGGGGTACAACAGGACAGTAAACTTGTGAGATGCTTGTGATGAATGAAATATCAAGTCTGGCTGTTTCACTGGGTTGCAGTCTGCAGATGTGTTCATTATAGTCTAAACTACACATGACCGTCTTTGGTCTAAAGTCAACTTTTTGTACATAGGGCGACTAACAATGTGGCGATGAACCAAGTGTGGCTGTTTCACTTGCGTTTGCAGATGTGTTGACTATAGTTTAAACTAGACATGACCATCTTTGGTCTAAATCAACTTTTTGTACTATAAGGCGACTAACAACGTGGCGATTTACAAAATGGAGTTAAAGGTTGATTGTCTACAAGATTCAAAATTATACAGGGGACTATCTCATATTTAGTACATGCACTTAAGGGTGAGCATAGAGTTGGTACTAAATTTTTGCCACAAGAATACGCCTGGCCTATATCTACTGATTAAGATGTGCCTTTCCCTAAATATCTTGGTCACTAGCAGTAAATGTTCAAAATGTAATTTTATCTTTTAAATCATAAACAACAATCTAATGAAGTACAATGTGTGAAAATTATGTTACGTGAAAACCAATCAATGATTTGTATATCTTGGATGCTTCTTTTTTTTTTTTTTTTGGTTTTGTGAATCATAATTTTATAAGCCTCATTTCTGTATTCCATTTACTTTATGTGGTACCTTCAAACTTTCTGATTGAAACTTAGTTAAGTCATAAGTGTGAAGGCTTCCATATGTTGTTGCTAAACTTTTCCTCCCTAATGTGTTTTATTGTTGTTGATTGCAGATGGTGGAGTATTTTAATAAAAGGGCTAATCTTTCAGACCATGCTCCTCTCGGTAGCTTCAGTGTAGCATTCAGTTACACTGGTTCAAAGCATGTAGATGCTGCCACTACAAAGACACTTTGTATGGATGGATTTTTCATACCGCTTTCTAAGCTTCAACTCATGACCTCCCCACTGGTCTTACAGGAAAATGTTAAAAGAGCTGTCCCTACGTCATGGGATCCACCAGCATTGGCAAGGTAGGAATTATCTTAATTATTTTTTGTGCAAGTGAATTTTGTCTATTGTTGAGATGTAAGATACCTTTTTCTAGAGCTTCTATCATAATCTAATGCAGGTGTTACTCCTGTGTCTTACAGCTTCATTGAAAATTTTGGGACGCATGTAATCACATCTGTAACTATCGGTGGAAAAGATGTAATTTATGTTAAACAGCACATATCATCACCTCTGTCCACTGCGGAAGTAAAAAACTACATTCAAGATGTTGGAAATCAGAGGTTCTCCAGCGCAGAAAGCCTTACAAGTTCAGGTTTATTGAGATACAAGGATAAGGCTAGTTCCAATTTATTTCTTTGTTTTCAATCTCTAAAATCCTTTCTTTTGTTGCTGTTTTATTTATAGTCCGTCTCATCTTTTGAGATATACTGTAATGCTTGTCTTTTGACTTTTCCTTTTATTCAATTTAACAGGCTAATGATCCATCGCTCTTCAATAATCAGGGGGTATATCCCCAACCCAGTAGTGCGCCATATATTCCCGGAAATGGAAAAGAGGTTTGTGACCTTCCTGTGTTTTCCTTCTTTTTTGTTGGTTTCTTTTATAACTTTCTAAATCTCGAAAGCTTCACTGGGATTACCTTAGGATGACACACAGAGGCAAAATTCATGGTGTGTGATCTGTTCCAATACAAGATGGTGCATGTTATCCTCTTACTAATTGTTTTGCCTTATAATGGTTCTTTTAATGTTCATAGTGCTGCAAAGGCTATTCGATACTCCCACCAACCCAACTGTGTTACACACTTCAAATTTTGAGACCTTTCAAAGTGTTTGACATAGGTCAACACATGATACTATTTATATAATTTCCACAAGTTTTAAAAACTGAAAGCCTTTTTAATGAATTGACCAACTTCTCATCAGAAAATTCATATCAAATGGGATAGAGGTAGTATTACGGAAATGTACACTGCACCCTTTGAATTTTATCATTGTTCTTTTAAAAATGAAGCATGAAATTTGGTTAAAAAGTTATTTCTTCTTTGACATGTCAAAATCTGATATACTGCCATACTCTATGTAGTCTCCAGGAAGCTATTGAATGAACTGCTTTCCCAATTTTTTGCCCCTAGAATTGACTTGACAAGAATTTTCCTTCAAACTAGTTAATAATCTCACACGATTCATACTCTGCTCCAGCTAGACCTTTGAAGCAAGAGATGGAGAATGGGGGAGTTCTCTGTGTGTGTGTCTCTGACCGTCAATTTTGGATCGTATTGGTGTCAATTTTGTTAGGACTTTGCCCTGAATTTCTAATTTATTAGGACTCTCTTTCTTGAAGGAATGGAAAAAGACTCCTAAAAGGATTAAATCTCCTTAATATGTCTTATCCTTTTCTTGGAAGACAAGTTTTGCACATCTATAAATTAAGGATCTCTGCTTCTCACAAGTGCACAAAAATATCCACAATGTAGTCATTAAAGATTTTTTTTAAGGGGAGATTTTTCTCTCGATAGTTTTTCTTCTTTTATATTAGTTTTATCATATGTAGATCAATTGACCAAACCATTATAAACTATTATGCTTAGTTTAGTATATTTTTCTTTTGTGTCTGATTTACGTTCACCAAGCTTTGTAATGTTTGTTTCCGCATCACCATGTTTTTCGATTCCAACAAATTTGCTTTGGAGGTCGATGCTATTACTAGCATGTCTTATTTTTTTTTGATTTGCACCGGGTGTCCGAGTCTCTAAGAGCCCCGACTAATCCCGGGGGTGCACAGGCCCTCGGTAAGGAGTTTCCCGCAAGTGCACCACGGTTAATTCAGGTTTTACCCAGTCCGATGGCCCTCAGAAATTGTTTGCACCCAGTGAGTTTCGAACTTGAGACCTTGAAAGGGAGCAAACCCCAAGGCTCAAGTCTATTGCCACCAGGCCAACCCCTGAGGGTTTTACTAGCTTTATTGATCTGTTGATGTTTATTTTTTTATTTTTTTGTTTTGGACGACAACAGGCTGAATATCTTAAGTTTAAACTTTGCTAAGTTTTCTGAATATTGAAATGTGCTTGAGGTTTTGAATGTATCTCATGCAGGATGTTACAGTCATTTTCAGAAGAAGGGGAGGGGATGATCTGGAACAAAGCCATACTCAATGGGAAAAGACTGTTAGATCTTCGCCAGATGTCATTGAGATGTCGTTTTACCCAATCACTCTTCTCCTTGAAGGGGTCAAAGGGAAGGATCATTTGGCACGGGCCATAAGTCTTTATCTTGAATGTAAGATACTATATCAATTTAAGACATAAATATATAAGTAATGAGGAGCTTTATTTGTTGGTGATAAGTGATACTAGTGCATAAATTTTTGCAGATAAACCTCAAATTGAGGAGCTTAGATATTTCCTGGAGTTTCAGGTCCCAAGAGTATGGGCCCCTGTACATGACAGACTTCCTAACCAACAACGAAAGGAACCTGTATGTCCGTCTCTTCAGTTCAGCATGATGGGGCAAAAGCTCTATGTTAGCCAAGAACAAGTATGCTACTGTCTTACTGTTATCTTTTTTTTTTTAAAAAAAAACAAGTATGCTACTGTCTTTGTTTCATAATTTAAGAAGGTTATCTGGTCATTAATGGCCTGACCTCTGCTCTTGGTCTTTATCCACTACAGGTGTCAGTGGGACGTAAACCCGTGACTGGCATGCGGCTATATCTTGAAGGGTCCAAGGGGAATCGACTAGTCATCCATCTTCAACATCTCGCTTCTCTTCCTAGGATCCTACAACCATACTGGGAGAGTCATGTCGCAATTGGTGCTCCAAACTGGCAAGGTCCAGAAGAACAAGATAGTAGATGGTTTGAGCCAGTGAAATGGAAGAACTTCTCACATGTGAGTACTGCACCAATTGAGAGTCCTGAAACTTTCATAGGCGATCTATCTGGTGTGTACATAGTTACGGGAGCTCAGCTTGGGGTCTGGAATTTTGGGTCGAGAAACGTTTTGTATATGAGGCTGTTGTATTCAAGGTTACCGGGCTGCACCATTAGGAGATCATTGTGGGACCATACACCAAATGATAAGTTAAGGAAACAGGCCGATAGTGGGAATAACGATGAAAGTTCAATTACAGGGGAGAATCTTACAGGCAATAAGTTGGCAAAGTTTGTTGACATGACAGAAATGAGCAAGGGACCTCAAGATCCTCCAGGTCATTGGATTGTCACAGGCGGAAAGCTCGGTGTTGAGAAAGGGAAAATTGTTTTGAGATTAAAGTATTCTTTGCTTAATTATTAGTTAATAGAGTTTTGAAACATGCAGCATTCGGTTCTAGAAAGGGAGAGATGGTGGTGTTTTTGGTGTATATTGGTGTTTTGGTTGTTTCTTGTGTACTATCTTTGTTTGATGGTAAAGTTCCCTTTGGAAAAGAATGCATGCTTGGTTGTTCTGGATGTGTAGATTTCTCAAATCTTGCTGCACAATTTTCTTCTCTTGGTTTGAGATTATTCTCTCTGTAGAAAATGTCACTAATATTTCACTAGTATTTCAAATATTGAAAGTTCAATATTTGCAAATGCAGAGGGTCAAACTTCAACTTGCAAATAACAATTTCAGTATTTGCAAGTGAAGTCATCGCCAAACATCCCCTATGTTTAATGACTTTTCTGGTCACTAGTTGGTATCACCAAAGCTTTTTCCCTTGTTCGGAAAAAGACATTACTTGAACTTTTCCTTTTCAATTTCTGAAGCCGCGTTTGATTACTAAGGAAGAGATTGTTTAATATTTGATTGGTGTTGGAAAAGTGCTATTAGGTCGGGTCTAACCATAAGGGGTACTAATTAGCTGGTTAATTTATTACGAGTGTGATTCTACTTATATATGATAAAAATACAATATTACGAATGTGAGAAAATGTACGCTTTTTTCATTAGGCGATGACGGTGGGTTTATGAATAGAATTCTTTGTTATTCTAGAAGATATTTAGGCTGTTTTCGCTTTGTGATCTATAATACAAGTCGTAGTTGCAATAAATCTGATTCTACAAAGAGAAACTTGTAAAGTCTCCTAAATTGGTATTTACTTCGAGGCACTACAGATTGTTTCTAAAATTATTTCCTATTTACTGATGCCAGAACTAAAGTAATAATAATATATTCACATCAATTAAAATATAGTATAACATAAACATGTTTCTACATTCATTTGTGGTAATTCTTGCCAGGTGCTGTCTTTAGACCTAGCATTATATATTTGCGACACTAATCAACAGGGCATAGACACTTCCGACCTTTCCACTTGCTTTTGACGAAAATAACTTCGTACGTACATATATTGTTTGAAAAATAAAGACTTCCTTAAAAGCACTGGCTGAGTATCAAAACATGTAACTTGTTTTAGAATTGACCTCCTTCAAAAGTTTGACCAAATTGCCAATTGGCTGGAGCGACGTTGTAGCTAGTAATTGTCTTGCCATCACTTGCTGTTACTTTGAAAGAAAGGGTTTGGCCATTAAGGTAAGAGTCACTCTGCCAATTTTGACCCCAATTTCTTGACATGTCTTGCCATCCTGTTCTTGATCCTTTTATGGCCACTGATCGGATGTCTCCAGCACCTCCAACGTTGGTTATCAATACAAGATTAAAGTAGGAATGGCCATTAATGGTGAACCTCATTCCTCCTTTCTTCATGCAAGGCACCCTGTCATATACCATAAAAACAATCTCCTTTAGACATGCAGTACCGGATTCATCTGAACCCAATATTTTTGAAGTATAAATTTAAAGGTAAAATTTTACTATAATTGCAACAAATAGTATATATCAACCCATAATTTTAAAATTACAATAAATTTAATATTAAAAATCTTAAAAATTGAACTCATAAAATTTAAAACCCAAATCTAGAGCATATCATAGTCTTTATGTGAGTTTCACAAAGTGTTACAAGTTAAAGATGAAAGAGGAGGAAGGTAGTATGTATGAAGTTCGGTATAATCATAGTCAAATTATGAAGGTTATGTTTTAGGGGGTAAACTTCATGTATAGTCACAAAAGCTCTAACCACTATAACAGTAAAGTCAAAAAAAAAAAAAAATATCATATTAAATTAAATGAATGATGTGTGAATTACTCAAAAGACACAAAAGATTGGAATATCAAATTTTCGTTGCTGAGATATAACACGTAATTGCCATGTCTGCGCAGCAATGGAGCCACCTTTACCAGCGAGTTTCAACTGAATCCCTTTCTTTGGAAAATTGTAATGTATATATATAGCTAGGAGAAAATTCTTTTAAGTGTATACATTAATTAATTAAAGAAATCACCACGTAAATTTCATACTTAAATGCTGTGCGCGCAGTCAAACACCATTACATAGATTAGGACAGAAAGAGTACCTTCTATAAAGGACAGGGACAATGCCAGCTCTATATAGAGCAATTTTCAAGAAAGCAGGTTCAGCCAAATCAAAGTGTTGAAGAGGGGGATTGCACCAGCCACCATTATTATTAGCCAGTGCATAATTTGGCGGGCAGAAATTGGTGGCTGTGACAGTGATAATACCAGCTAGACACCATCGATGCTCTGCATTTGCATTGCACTTGAGTTCATAGCAAGAACCACAACTCAACCCACTGTTAAAGAGTGCAGTACTCAAGGCTGCAGTGTTTGTACCATAACCTTGGCTATACAAGTTGCCATATCCACATGCTCCACCTGAAAAAATTATGTTCCAAACAAAATTAAATCTTGAGTACATGACGTAAAAGTAACACCATAATGGGTCATATGGCTCGAACTATATATACATATATTGTATATATAAAAGAAGGGGCATCCATGGTGCACTATGCTTCCGCTATGCACGGGGTTTAAAGATTTCTATAAGAGACTATTTATGCGGCTTGAATCCGTGACCTCCTAGTCACACATCGATAACTTTTACTGTTGCTCCAAGAGTCCCCTTCAAACTATGTAAACATATATGGAGAAAGAATTCGAAATGTACACTTATAATAAGATCATATACTCCATTAGAAGGCAACGACCTAATGACTCTAGATTTTGAATTCGGCTTCTCTGCTCTTACGCCAAGATTAATTTTAAGCTATAAAAATCGTGTAAATACATACCCATTGTACCGGAAGCATCAGCACCACCATAGAATGTTGCATGGGCGTTGTTCCAACCACTATACCCTCCATTGTGAGAGTATCCACAAGAGTGTTGCAAACATATTGCAAGAAAAAGGAGGAAAAGAAATGGCAAATGATGATATTGCTTTTGGTCATTAATAGCCATTTTGTTACTTATTGATTATATTGAGTACTATTTTATGGTTGGGAGTTGAGACTTGGCTGAGGATGTGAGGCTATGCATGGCTATTTATAGAGATATAGAGTATGAGATTTTAAGTATACAATATGGTCCCTACTCTACAGGACCCCTCCCCCTTTTGTGTTGGCCCCCATCAAAAAGTTTTATAAGAAAATATTTTTAGGTTATTATGATTTTAATTGTATGAAGGATACATAAAAGTGAACGGTTATCACGTTTGAACCGGCCAAGAACCTAACCAAGTGATTGAATTTAATTCACAAAATGCATAGCATACATTTATGTTTCTTTTAATTTTTGAAGAATTAACCTAAATAGCTGTCAACCAACCACAAACTAAAATCGACCGACGAATATATATATATAATCGTATATAATTAGTGTATAATGTAAATAGTGAATCCAATCGGCTATTTGTGCATAAATTTCATTTTTTCATCATTTAATAGAGACACCCTATCACCTCTTTTTCTTCATGACAATGTTTTCATTATAATTAATTTGCCTCATTGCTCAACAGGTTTTAAAGTTATACCAACTCTGTCTTCCACAAGATAAGCCAAGAGGACCCGCACGTGCTACGACTTGCAATATTGTCCTTATTGTTCTTTGATGACAAACAAGAATGTCAATAAAGAAAATATAAACTCATGAAGTTAAAAATAAAATTCTTAAGTTTTTCTTTTTCTTTTAAATCTTTTCACTATTACAGCCTTTATATTATCGTCAAGTTGCTACAAAAATTTGTACGTTTGGACCATCATGAGGAATATAATTACCCTTCGTTTAAGTTAGCTACACTAGTGTTTTTAACCTTAGAGTTCACGTAGTTTATGTACATCAATAATATAAAAAAAATTATATTATGAAATTTTTTACCTGTTGTAATAACATGTAACTCGCCAGATTATAAATTCTATTTTTATGAAAAGTTACTTTTAGATATCTCTAATTGACTGCATGATGGTATAAAAAATTCTATATACTATCTTCGTATATAAGTTAAACTCCTAAACTTATTTGCTTGAGTAAGTTATTGTACGCTATCATAGTATAAGAGAAAGAATGTCCTCATATCAAAGGATTTACCAAGAGGTAAGAGATTGCTACTATATATAGCAAGAAAGGGAATCTTCTATATAGTTTGGCAATAGTTATACAACAATAATATATATATATGAAGAGGTAAATTACTCTATTGCTGATCTTCTATGTGTATTTAGTTTTCTTTTTTACTGATAAAGGTTCAACCTCCCACAAGATGGTGTTACTAGTGAAAAAAATAATCTTAATATTAGTTTGTAACATCTTTAATTTTCAAGATGCGGTATATTTCTATCAGAATACAAAAAGCGTAGAAAAAATTTAAAATGTATAGAAGTCAAACACAGATTCCCTCTAAAGATAGGTGAGATGCTTAAAACAAATCACAGAAAAGGAGGCAAAAAAGTGGCTATTTCTTGGACGGCCGATTTGTCACATGTTGGAGGAGATCTGATTAGGTGGCAGGTAGTTAGCCAACCATATCTGGAAGTCTTGATGACATGTCACTGCTGACCTGTCTTTTACCCGGGGTTCATGTCTTTTTTTAGTGTCATCGCTCTATAGTCAAAGTCAACAGTCGAGAACTCAGCTAACTTTTAGGAGCTTATGTTGCCAGCCAAACGGTACAGCGACACAAATATAATTAAGCATGAGTTTCAAATTAGTTGAGGTTAATTTTATATATACTATTCTTATGATATGAGCTTTGTGCGTGTATATTATCAAATAAGAAAGAATTTTAAAAAATTATATGAATAAAATATTAAAATATTATATTTGAGTTATAAAATAAAAGTTAATATTCCCTAAAATGATGGATCTCTTATAAAAGTTCTCAATCATCGGTCAATATATTCAACTAAAAATTTATTTCAGCTTTATAATTCAATCACTTTGAATTTATAAATTATCATGCTTCTTTTTCAATTTCAGCATCACATATAATCCTTGAAAACTTAAATATCTTTCTTTTTTTTTTGAAAAGTTATTCACAAGTTCATTTAGAAGACTCAAACAGGATTATCAAATCGATAGAAAATAATAGCAGTGTTGAGTTAACAGATCCGACCCGGTGTAGATTACAGGTCCTCATTACGGCTATCAAT